GGACAAAGGAAATGACAGAGCCACAACCGTGGACAAAGGAAATGACAAGCAAACCACGGAAGAGGAAAGTCAGATGGTTATAAACAAACGAAGAGAAACAGAGGAATGGAAATTAAAGCAACATACTGTGTTGTCATTATATACATTAAAAATGTAAAAATGTGTAGACATGCTAAACATCACATTTAGGATAGTGATTACCTTGGAGTGATTATAGTACTCTGGGTGACTCCTGGTTTATCTGTAATGGCACATGATGGGTAAGAATTCATGGAGGAAGCCATCGTTTGAATTACTGGTTTAACTCCTTTGTATCTCAGTTTCCCTACCTGTAAAATGGGGATAACAAACTTTAAATATCTCATAGGGCTATTGTGAGGTTTAAATGATTTAATATATGTAAAACACTAGAACAGTGCCTGGCATATATCAAATGCTATTTAAGTCTTTGCTATTGTTTTGTTGCTGTTGTTTTGTTTTGTTTTTTAGTAAGGAAAAAGAAAACAAAATTTGAAACAAATATGGCAGAATGTTAATATTCATTTGAGTTTGGTGGTGGGTGCGCAGGTAATCATTTTATTATCCTATACAAAGTATATATCCTGAAATAATTTAAAATTTAAACAAACACAATAAAGGTAAATGACAAATCAGGAAAATTGTGACAATACAAGCAGTATTAATAGACAAAGGGGTAACATCCTTAATATATAAAATACATTTATAAACCATACAAAAAAGCAAACACCTTAATAGAACAATTAAGAGCAAAGGATATGAATGAGAAATTTCATCAAATAAGAAGTACAAAAATTAAAAGAAATGTCCGATAAAACAAGAGTGCCCTGTTGGATTAGAAAAGGTAATGGGAATGGAATACCCAGTATTTGCATAAAGAGAAGCAGTTACTCACAGGCCGCTCATGGAATTGGTTAAAACCTTTCTCTGAGGATCATTTAGCAGTATGTGTCAGAATCTCTAAAAATGTTCATTGACTAAACAATTTCATCTCCAGAAATCTTTCCTAAGAAAAGAATTAGACAAGTTGTTTTAAAACAAGCACGTAAAAGGATATTTATCTGGGCAATGTTTCTAGTAGGGAGAAAGGAATGACTATGACAGGGAAATGGCTAAACCAGTCACAGCACATCTCTACAGCAGAATGTGCCACAAATGTAAAAAAAAAAAGAAAAGAAAATGACGCTGTAGATTGTGTTTAATTGGCACAGAAGTACGTTCACAAGGTATTATATTTTAAATACAGGTTTTCAGTGCATGGAGTATGTTCCCATTAAAGTCATATGCCAAAGTCACAGGGAGTTTGGGGTTCTCCATAAGTCCCCCCAGTTCCTGGAAAGCGGCCATTTGCATTCATTGTTCAGTGAACCTCCTGCCAGAAGTTAGGGGAAGTGGGTCACCAAGCTCAGAGCCTCCGTCTGCCAGATCTCAGTGAGCCTGTAAAACAGGCAGAGTTGTTTATATCTGAAGACAGCCCCTGCCTGGGTCTGGAGCTCTTGGCCACTCTGAGCAATCATAATAAATGCTGTTGACAGTAAATAATCGCCCTCTCGTACGGAGTCCTCACTTTACAGCCATTAGCTGTAACTCCTAGAAACCTCCTGCGGGGTTATTATCCCCATTTTATATATGGGGACCCTCAAGGTTCAGAGAGATGAAGAAACTGGCCCAAGATCACACAGAGGCAGCCCCTGCTCTGGAACCCGGGCCTGGCCACCATTCTCTGCACATACTAAACCATCAAGCTTTGATCACATGGCCTTAGAGAGCATGGCATGAGACTGTGGAAGGAAGAGGTCTGTTACCAAAATGTATGTACTTCTCAAGCTTAGCTGCACATGATAATCACCTGGGAAGTTTTTTATTAATCCCCATACCTGGGCTACTCTCCAGTCCAATGTAACTAGAATCTCTAGGATGGAACCCAGGCATCCATGTTTTTAAAGCTCCCTGGGTGATTAGAAAGTGCATCAAGTTTGAGAAATGGTCAAAAACAGCACTTGAACTTTGAATCCCAGGAATCTGGTCAAAACGCAGATTCTGATTGAGCAGATCCGGGGCCTTGTAAGATTCTGCATCTCCAAAGAGCTTCCGGGTGATGCTGTTGGTTCCTGAAAAATCTTTTCTTATTTCCCCAAAGAGCATTCCCCCAGAGCCTCTTCTGTCTTTTTCTTCCGGAGTCAGCGCCACCGGATAACTGCCATCTTGGCACCAAAACAGCTGGGAGCCTGCACAAAGTGAGGTGCAGGGCTTTTCCTGAGCCCCATTCTCTAGAAATGTGTGTCGGTGCTCATGGGTGTCAGACCCACCCTGGTGCACCCCGGCAGTGCTGAGGAAGACCAAAGGTGGGGTCCAAGGGAGGCACTCCCCAGGCCCCAGCTGTAGGGGCTCTCAGGGAAGCTGTGCAGGGTGTGCTGCTGAGTGAGGGCTCTACGCACAGCTGTGTGCGTCTGAGGCTGGGTAAGGAAGGCTCCTGGAAGTCAAGCTGAGCAGCACAGGACAGGCAGGACATGGCACACGGAACTCAAAGGCTCAAACATTTGTACATCTATTCAACAGATACTAGTGGACCACCTATGGGCTGGGCACCGTTCCAGGTGCAGTAGGGAAAGGTCCCTGCCATCACAGAGCTTACCTTCTAAACACATAAGGCTCGATAAACAAATAGCTGTTGGATGGTGGTGTGAGGCAGACAAAAATCAAGCCAGGATGGGGGCTAAGAAGTGTGGTGGGAGGGAGGCACATTCTCAGTTGCCAGGACGCCCATGGATCAGGAGCTCTGAAGGGAGTGAGTTGTGCGGCTGGGGAGAGGCATGACCCAGGGAAAGGGAGCAGCAAGTACAAAGGCCCTGAGGAGGGGACAGAAAGAAGCAGGTATGGCTGGAACAGGAGAGCAACAGGCAATGGGGCCGGAGGTTGGAAAGTTCCAGAAGCAGGTTTGGGTGCTGGGGAGAGAAGCAAGTTCCAAGGCTGTCTCTTTATGTGTGAGGGCAGCCCAGGAATGAGAACTGAGGCTGGAGGATTTTAGGGTCCCTCCCTTTCCCAAGAGCCCAGCTGGTGGAGGAGCAGGTCCCTCTGGGCACAAGCACTAAAGGGACCACCGAAGTCAGGAGGGCTGGGCTGGTGGGTGGTGCCCTGTGTGGCAGTGCTGAGGAGCCCACCCACCTGCCCTCGTGGTGCCTCTCCCTGAGCCAACAGCATCCCACTGCTCTCCAGCCCACCTCCATGGGGCCTATTCTGAGCTGGTGGGGAGAGAATGGCACTGGAATGACCAGCAAATGCCTCTCTCTCCGTCCAACACAGAGCCCCATCAGGGTGGGTGCCCAGACCAGAGTGACCTCCCCTCCTGATTGCCAACACCAGTGAGGTGCCTCGGCCATCCCTGTCTGTGACCCCAGCTCTTCACAACTGCTGCAGGCCTGGCACTGTTCTGCGGGTACTGTTCCCTCTGGCTTTAGCCCTCCCCTCCAAAAGACCTGGAGTGCCTCCTCACTGCCCTGAGGACAGCGCCTCAGCTCCCCAGCATGGTCAAGAGACCCTGCGTACAGAACCCCAACTTCCTGCCATCCACACCGTCGTAGAACATTCTCCCCTCCGGGAACCATCCATTGGCACACCGCAGGGCAGCTGGCATGGCTCTCGAGTCCCCTGCACCATGGGATGCTTAACCACAGGGTTCTGCCAGCCAAGGCTGGGCAGCTCGGGACTCATAAATCAGTGAACCAGACAAAGCTCAGCCTCTGCCCACTCAGGCATGTTTTCAGAAGAGAGAGGAGGTTTCCCTAAATCCCAAAGGGCAGCACTGGATTCTTCTCCTCATTCTCAAACTTAATAGCTATGTGACCCCAGACAAGTTACTTAACCTCTCAGTGCCTCAGTTTCCTTACCTATATAAACTGCAGGCAATGATACTTCCTCATGAGGTTGGATGAATCAAAAAAAACACATGCAGAGTGTTCTGGCCAGCACTTGGCACATAGCCCTTGGGAAGCAGTGGCTGCTGATTATTGCAGCGGGCACAGTCCAGCATGTGGATGAGGAGGAAGGGCCTCCTGGGGAGCAGGAACAGCAAGGACAGAGGCCCTGGGTCAGGGTAGCCATGAGCATCTGCGGTGATGCGTGGATTTGGCATGTGTCGGGAGAAGGCCCTTCTGTGGACACACAGACCGAAAGGAGTCTGGCACTGGGTCATGTGACCATCCACTGCAGGTTCCCCCTAGAGCTGTGAGTCTCTGTGGAGACTGCAAAGGGCCCAGGCCATTCCTGAAGGCCAGGCAGGTGTGCCTGGTGTGCTTGGTGAGCAGCTGCAAGGGATGGGGGAGCAGGCTGGAGAAGAGAGCTGTCCCCAAGGGGCTGGGCTATGACCAAGCAAACCCCACTGGGAGCCTGGCGCCAATCAGAGCAGTTAGGAGGCAGGCGTCCCTGCTGGCCAGGGCGTCTTTCCATCCCAAACAATTCCTGCTCCCTTCTCAGGTCTTCACGGGGATTTTCACAGCAGAGATGACCTTCAAGATCATTGCCCTCGACCCCTACTACTACTTTCAGCAGGGCTGGAACATCTTCGACAGCATCATCGTCATCCTTAGCCTCATGGAGCTGGGCCTGTCCCGCATGAGCAACTTGTCGGTGCTGCGCTCCTTCCGCCTGGTACCTGGCTGGACCCACTGCAGGGAGGGCAGGGGTGGAGTGGAGGGCGGGGCACAACCCAATCTGAGGTCATCCCTACTTTGGTCTGTCATGCCTTCACCCAACAGCCATTGGCTAGGTATCCCTGGATGCCTGGCCCATGCTGGTGATGCGAGGGGTGCAGGGGCAGGCAAGACAGGAGACATTCCTCCAGAGGAGCAATTGCGGTGGCCATCCTGATGAGTGCAAAGCCCGTTGTGGTCCACAGTAACCCCTTTAGCCCTCACAAGATCAGGAGTGGGACCGGTATTACTTCATTCCCATTTCACAGATGAGGAGACTCAGACTCACAGAGGTGAAACGAATTCCCACAGCCACATGGCAGATAACAGAGGGAGCTGGGCTGCTGGTCTGAGGTTCTGCCTGCTGGCTTCTGAATCAGCATCGTTAAAACATTAACACACATGCAAATCACCTGGGGATCTTGTTAAAATGCAGATGCTGATTCAGTGGGTCTCAGGTGATGTCAAAGCTGCTGGTCTGTGGACCACACTTGGAGCTTGAAATGCTTGAGAGGTCCAGACGTGGGGCAGGCGGTATAGTCAGGAAAGGCTTCTGGAGGAGGTCCTGAGCACTGTGGGTCACTGCACATACAGTGGATGGGAGTCGGGGGGTGGCGGGATGTGTAGGAAGGCGGGATGTGTAGGAATGCAGGATGATGGGGGCAGGAGGGAAAGCCAAGCCTGTGGGTTCTAATCCTGACTCCACTGCTATGAGCTAAGGGACTTGGACAAATTAGTCTGCCTAAATGAGGTAATGCTGGTGCCAACCTCATGGTTATTGGGAGTTCTGAATAGGTTCATCAATTCTAAGCACAAGGCCTGGCACAGAGGCATTCAGTAAGCATTAAGCACCTGCCCTCTTTCTCTGTGATGACAGAGAGAAAGGTGGAGGTGGCCGGACAAGCCAGAGATGGTCTGAGCCGCCCCAAAGGACACCTGATGAGGACAGGTCTGAAAGAGCAAGCACACTCCCTGGTGGGAGAATCTACTGGGAAGTTCCTGGAAGTGAGGCCAAGGCAGAGAGAAGGCTGGTGTGGGGACAAAGAGAAGGGCTGATTGGGAGGTGAGGCTGGAGCTGTTGACCTGCCCCTAGTGCAGGGCCCAGTGAAGCCGCCCTCAGGCTGCGGAGAGGAACAGTAGCAGGTGCTCTGGGAGATGGGGGGAAAATAGGTGTCAGTGCCCTGCAAGGGCTTTCTGGGCTTTCAGGCAGGAGCTGGAGAAAGTGATGGTGCCCATGGGGGGCAGGAGCTGGAGAGAATTACGGTGCCCATGGGCAGCAGGAGCCAGAGCCCTCATAAGCTCCCCTCCTCTTCCTCCTTCCCCAGCTGCGGGTCTTCAAGCTGGCCAAATCCTGGCCCACCCTGAACACACTGATTAAGATCATCGGGAACTCAGTGGGGGCACTGGGGAACCTGACGCTGGTGCTAGCCATCATTGTGTTCATCTTTGCTGTGGTGGGCATGCAGCTCTTTGGCAAGAACTACTCAGAGCTGAGGCACAGCGACTCAGGCCTGCTGCCTCGCTGGCACATGATGGATTTCTTCCACGCCTTCCTCATCATCTTCCGCATCCTCTGCGGAGAGTGGATCGAGACCATGTGGGACTGCATGGAGGTGTCTGGGCAGTCACTGTGCCTGCTGGTCTTCTTGCTTGTTATGGTCATTGGAAACCTTGTGGTAAGTTGGCCGAGGGCCTCACACACACACCATCCATTCATCTACCCAGCTACCTACCCATCTAATTATCCATTTACTTACCCTTCTGTCCATCCATCTACTCATTTACCCACATTTCTTTCTATCTTGTTTATTTCATCCATCCCCCCATCCACTCACTTGCCTGTCCATCTATGTACTATCAACAAACCATCTAGTCATGCACCCGTTTATTCCTCCACATATATGCTCTGCAGCCGTCTATTGATCGTCTGCTTATCAATCACCCAGCCACCAACCAACCCACCCATCCGTTTACCACTCCAGCAATCTGAAGGATCCATAGATCCTCCCCCCATTAACAAGGACCCATCCATTTATGCACTTATTCACCTTGTCCTTCATCCATCAACCCCATTTTCCTCATTCGCTCATCTATTCATTAATCTGCCTATCAGTCACCCATTCATCAACACCCATGCACACTTACACATCCATATGCCCATTCATCTATCCACCCATCCATTCACTTACACAGTGATCCATCCCTCCCTTCATCCACCCACTCACCCAACCACTCATTTCTCTACTCATTCATCTCCCATCTATCAACTCACCCATCCATTCACTCATTCACCAATCCATCTGTCTACTCATCTGTCTCTCCAGTCGTCTACTTCCTCACTCATTGACCCATCCATCCATTCACTCACCCTTCACCGCATTTTTTTTTTCTGTGACTGAGTTTCACTCTTGTCACCCAGGCTGGAGTGCAATGGCACCATTTCAACTCACTGCAACCTCTGCCACCAGGTTCAGAATCACCAGGTTCAGGTGATTCTCCTGCCTCAGCCTCCCAAGTAGCTCGGATTACAGGCATGCACCACCACACCTGACTAATTTTTTGTATTTTTAGTAGAGATGGATTTTTACCATGTTGGTCAGGCTGGTCTCGAACTCCTGATGTCAGGAGATCTGCCCACCTCGGCCTCTCAAAGTGCTGGGATTATAGGTGCAAGCCACCATACCCAACCTCTTCACTGCATTTTGCTTATTTGTCATTTACCCACTTACTTGCCTGTTTATTCATTATTTACTCATTTTGTTTTCATTCATTTACTTATCTGTTCATCTACCCATTATTTCTCTGTCAGTCACTCTCCATGACTTATCACGTGGTTTTTCAACTCATCTTAACATGTACTAAGCCCTTGTTGCTGGGAAAACCTTGTGCCACATACTGTTGGGCATACAGAGGCAAATGAGGTCCAGCGTCAGCCCTGACATCACTCGCCGGCTTGAGGGATTACTGGGGAGGTGGAGAGTTAAACAGGACTGAAATAACTCTCGGACTGGTCAGAGTGATCAGAGCCCTTAAGGAAGAGATCATAGGTACTGTTCCCATTCAGCTAGGAAAATCAAAGAAAGCTTCCTGGAAGAGGTTTTGGAGCTGACCTGATGAACAGGTAATGCTGAAGAGGGAAGGAGCGGGATGGGCAAAGCACAGGTGCAGACAGGTGGTGGTCCAGGTAAGGTGGGACCCATAGGAGCTTTCTTTATATGTCCCCCTGAGTGGCGTGGTAGGAGTCTCTGCTGTCCCATCGTGAGGGCTCCATATCTTTGTTCCTGTGGGTTCCTGTATGTCCTTGGGCAGGTACATCCTGTCTTGTGTCTTTACAATGTGGGAAATTCTGGAACTGAGAAAGGTCAAAATTTAAATACCAGAGAAGGAGTGTGAGGAAGAGGCAAGGCTGGGGTCAGTCAGTGGTTCAGGCAGCAATCAGTGTCCACTGTGGACATGAAGCCACCTTCCTGGTGGCCCACACATGCTCAGGCGCCATGCCTGCATTGTCTGACTCCCACCCGTAGCTGTATGTCTCTGTCGTGGGCAGTGCAGTCACATCAGCTTACAGAGAGGTTTTCGTTCTCTTTTTCAGCCTGCTGTGGGGCAAGTCCTGTAGGCTGTAGACTCAGAGCCTTTCCCCAAACTGCCTGCTCTCTTCTCCCATGTGCCTTAACCAGGCCAGGTTAGGACAGGCCAATTTGGGATCAGTCCCCTGCCGGCCCATGAGCCCAGAGGCCAGAGGATTGGAGGGCCCAAAGATAGGCGAGCCAGGGCATCTGCACGGTGCCAACAGAACCCTGCTCTTTGGCTGGCCCCAAGCCCCTCACATCCCCCCAGACTAGCTGTCCCTGGGTGGGGGGAGGGTTGCTCAGCCTGTCCCAACCCCAGGGCCTGCCAGACTGCCCATTCCAAGGAGAATGAGAGTTGCCGAGCACTCAGCCCAGGGCCAGGCTGAGCCACCCCTCACACATGGAGCCCCGCGATTTCCCAGCAGATCTGCCTGGGGATGAGAAAATTAGAGGCTGCTGGAGGACGGAGCTAATGCCAGCCCACACAGCCCCCTCCCCGGCCGCCTCAGGAACTGGGCCGCTGCCGGGCGTGGGAGGAAGCAAGATTGCCATTGAAATGGGAAGTGATGATCAGGCAGGGCTGGGAGCAGCACGATTGATGGAAGCACTAGAAGGAGCTGAACTTCTGAAGCCAGTGGCAAGGGGGCCTAGACTCCTGCGCATGGCTGCCCAGGTACCCCACCCTGCTCCCAGCCTAGGCCCAGGACTCCCGGAGGTTAGAGAATGCAGGGCCTGGAGTAAATGAGGGCTGCAGGGGAAGGACCCCCAGTGGGCATCCTTCCTGGGAATGGAAGCAGGCCATGCCTGGGTCCTTGTGGAGAAAGGCCAGGGGCCAGGCCAGAGGTCAGTGCAGACAGCAGCTCCGAATCCCATCACATGTCCCACCCACCTAGTGATGACAGAGAAAGCTGTCAGGTATCAAAAGTGATCTTCTATCCGTAGAGATTGGACTGGAGAGCCTACCTCTTCACCTTTCATACTGTCCGCATGAATCTGTATTACTTTTAAGCCAAAGGCATGTTTCTGAGGCTGCTTGTATCAGAATTCTTATTCCCAGCTTCCTGATAGGTCTGGGGTCTCTGGTAGAGGTGTCTTTTAGAGGCTCTTGAGAAGCCAGAACAGAGTCTCAGAGTGGATTTCCAAAAAGAACTGTGCACCGACCCTAACACACCACCCTGCCGTGAAGGTGCTGGGAGGGAGGAGACACCAAGCCCATGCTGGCCTGGTGGCCTGGTGAGGCACGAGCCAGTCTGACCTATGCGTGTGGTAATCAGCCCACCGCCATCCTAACTGACCCTCCATGAGACCTGGAAGTGGACATGAGCCCAGCCTCTTGTCACACAGCAAAAGCCTTCTTTTTAAACAAAAGCTAAAGCCTCACACTTGTCAGAGGGCTTAACGAAAAGCAACCCTCCAGAACCACGCAAAGGCAGAGGGGTTATGCAAACCCCCTTAAGGGGTCTCTAGTCCCTAAGCCCTGATGAATGACCTCAATAAAATACTGCGCCCCAAGGAACCTCCGACACTGCAGCGCCTCCCCTGGATCCCTGCAGTATAGCAGCCCTTCTCCTGCACACAGCACCCTTCCTGGCACCCCTCACAGCCTGGACACGGTTGGCTCTCCATGGCCTGACCCCATGGTTAGGTCAAGTGCCTGAGGACTGCCTGTGCCCTCCTGACCTCTTTTCCAGCCATTGCACCTTTCTCTGCCGAGTCCCAGCGTCCCTCACCTGGAATGCGTGGCAGACCTGGGCATCAGGCAGTGCATGCCCCAGGCTTCTGAGCGCCGAGCTGCCTCAGTGCGGAACTCAGAGGCAGGTCACTGCTCTTCCTCTTTCCAGGAAAGTCTCAAAAGCTCTGGGTGGCTTCTGGGTGGGATTCTGTCTTGTCCCTGGACTCACACTCCCCAGGAAGGAGACCTGTGCCCACCCTGACCCCGCTGCCCCTCACTACTCCTAAGGCAGCAGGAAGAGGTGAAGGGAGGTGTGCGTAGAAGCCGCTGGTGCCGGGACAGGGCTGAGTGTGTGTGGCTTTGGGCTCGCCCCTCGCTCTGACGCTGGGTGCACGCACAGTTCTCCCATGGACCTGAGCCAGGACGCGACACCTCAGTTCACGCTGTGTCTGAGCCCTTGGAAAGAGGGATTGGACTTTGCACTTTGCTCTAAAATGAGGGGTTAGGATGAGGGCTCAGGGCCCTGGATTTGAGCCTCAGGGCTGTTTGTCACAGGCAGTCTTGAAGGTCTCTGGGCCTCAGTTTCCCCATCATAGAACTGGGACTGGATGCCTTGGCATGGCACAGTGCCTTGGTGAGCCTGACCCATTATGTCGGCAGGTCCTGAACCTCTTCCTGGCCTTGCTGCTCAGCTCTTTCAGCGCAGACAACCTCACAGCCCCTGACGAGGACAGAGAGCTGAACAACCTCCAGCTGGCCCTGGCCCGCATCCAGCGGGGCCTGCGCTTCATCAAGAGGACCACCTGGGACTTCTGCTGTGGGCTCCTGCGGCAGCGGCCTCAGAAGCCCGCAGCCCTGGCCGCCCAGGGCCAGCTGCCCAGCTGCATTGCCACTCCCCACTCCCCACCACCCCCAGAGACAGAGAAGGCACCCCCCGCCCGCAAGGAAACACGGTTTGAGGAAGGCGAGCGGCCAGGCCAGGGCACCCCCAGAGATCCGGAGACCGTGTGTGTGCCCATTGCCGTGGCCGAGTCAGACACAGACGACCAAGAGGAGGACGAGGAGAACAGCCTGGGCACGGAGGAGGAGTCCAGCAAGCAGGTGAGCGCACCCCAGCAGGCACAGGGCACTTGGCTATACAGGGCCCAGAGCTCTGCTGCCCAGGCGACCCAGCCTCACGCAAAGTGGCTGCCCCTACCAGACTGCCTCGGCAGTGGGTAAGGGAGGGGTAGAAGGCAGGCCCTTCCCACAACAGCCAGCCTCAGAGGGGTGCTGAGACCAGCCCTCAATGCTGTCTTCCTAACTCAGCCCAGAAGCTGACCTGGGGAGGGGCTGCTGCCCATCACTCATGCCCTGGCTGGGTAGGGGGAGCTCATTGTACAGAAAGGGAAACTGAGGCATGGCAAGAGAGACTTGCTAGGCATTCCTCATGAGTTTGGAACAGAGCCTCTAGCCCCCAGCTCCCATACTGACCATTGTTCCCCTCCAGGACTGGCAAAGTGGAGTGTCTTGGTGAAGGAAGAATGCAGTTTTCTGACCTCCAAACTGCCCCTTCCCCTCCTCCCATACCCAGGGCTCATTCTGAGATTTAAAAATAAGCATCCCTAAGACTGAGGTGTCAGGAACAGCCCTATCTTATCTCCCAACCTGTTATTTTTAACACTTGGGACCAGAGTCTGCACAAAGTAGGCAGGGCCCCCCCTCCTCTCCCCTTCCCTCCCCACCCCTCCTCTCCCCTTCCCTTCCCTCCCCTCCCTTGGCCTGAGCCAGGCTCTGACACTTCTCCTTAGGGCTTTAGGTCAGGCCCCGAGTAGTGTTCTGCCTGTTGAGTTGGGCCCATCTTGGCTGCTTCCTTGGGCCTGCACTGGGTGGGCCTGGCCATGGAGAGCAGCCGCTCCCTGTGTGTGAACCTGGATCTAAGGTTCTGAGCTTGGTTTCACGTCCTCCTGCCTCCCTGTGGTCCCAGAGGCCAGCTTTGGCCCTTTCAGTCAGGTTGCGGGACAGTGGCAGTGTCTGCTCGGGGAGGGGGCGTGTCGGCGTTGCCCGGACCACTGCGTCCAATCATCTCCAGCACAGGAGGGGAAGTCCAGCTGCCTCTCCCTTCCCTTCTCCTTTCCTTCTCCTAAGCCTGTTGATTCTGGCTCCCTGGGATGTGTGTGTGTGTGTGTGTGTGCACGGGCACACGAATGTGTAGGCAAGCTGAGAGTGCCACAGGGACTCACAAGGGAAGTCAGTGTGCCTGTCCTAAGTACAGTGGCCAGCATTTGTGAGCTGGGCTTCACAACCCAGCTGCACCTTTCCTTCCAGGGAGTCTGGGCAGAGGGAGTTATGCCAGGCTGGCTGGGGCATTGTCTGGCTCTGTATCTTTTGCCTGGACATACCAGGAGACTCCCACCTGCCTGCTCAGGGCCCCTGAGGGAGGGGTCTTCTGTGAGATGGAGGCTCCATGGAGAGGGCTGGAGGCAGTGCTCCAGATGCATGGGCAGGGGCTGAAGCCCCCAGGGTCAGTGCCCTGGAGACCCTCTAGCTGGGTGCATGGACTCAGCTCATGGGCTGGGGTCTTTTCAGCAGGAATCCCAGCCTGTGTCCGGTGGCCCAGAGGCCCCTCCGGATTCCAGGACCTGGAGCCAAGTGTCAGCGACTGCCTCCTCCGAGGCCGAGGCCAGTGCATCTCAGGCCGACTGGCAGCAGCAGCGGAAAGTGGAACCCCGGGCTCCAGGGTGCAGTGAGGTAATGCATGCCTTTGTCCCTGAAGCCGGCTGGGCGCTGCTGCGTGAGCTGGAGCCAGGCCGTGAGAGGTGCACGCCTGCATTTGCTGCTGGGAGCCACAGCTGCTATCACAGGCAGTGTGGAAGAGCAGTCTGCAGAGGGGAGGGTGGGCATCCCAGTCCTGACAGGGGAGAGATGGTGCAGGGCCCAGGGCCGTGCGGAAATTCTGGTAATTCTGGCCCAGAACTCCGATGCAGGGACTAACCCACCCTCTCCACACTCTCCATCCCTGTGTTTTGGTCCTGTTTGGCAAATGTTTGTCCTGTGAATATCCCCATCCAAAGAAGACTTCAGGAGGCTGGGTGCGGTGGTGCATGCCTGTAATTCTAATACTCTGGCAGGCCAAGGCGGGTGGATCACTCAGTGTCAGGAGTTCGAGACCAGCCTGGCCAACATGGTGAAACCCCGTCGCTGCTAAAAATACAAAAATTAGCCAGGCCTGGTGGCACATGCCTGATAATCCCAGCTACTCAGGAGGCCGAGGCACAAGAATCACTTGAACCCTGGAGGCAGACGTTGCAGCAAGCCAAGATCCCACCACTGTACTCCAGCCGGGGTGACAGAGCAAGCTCCTGTCTCAAGAAAAACAAATAAAAAACAAAAAAGACTTCAGGGCGCTCTGAAAACAAGTTCTGGACACATCGGCCACCAGCAGCTTCTTACCTGCACCAGAGCAGAGGCCGCAAGTGGGAGACCACCCAGCCTACCACTGAATTTTGGTCTGGCCACAAAAAGGTTTTACTTTGAATTAGCTGCCACTATTTAAAACTTAGGAGCTTTTAAGTAAAAATCTGCATTTCTGGCTTCTCTTTAAAACTCAGAAGACATGCCACCCTGCCAGAGGCAAGAGAGAGCCACCTCCCAGACACCAGCTGGAGGTCTCTAGTTTGCCACAGACCCACCTGCCTGTCTGTGTTTTGTTACCTGCCTGATGCGGTAAGCATTGGAGTTTGAAGCCCCTGAGCAAAGGCTTGTGGCATTGCTGAGTAGTCCGCCCAGCCTCACTCACATCTAGCCCTGGAAGGGGGAGGGCAGGTGTTCAGCGTGCTGGGTGAACATGTCCTGCAGCCTGACCTCAGTCCAGCACTTGTGCCTTTTCCTCTTCTGTGAGATGGGCCCATGTGAGCTTGGCAAGCAGCGTCAGTTTTTGGAGCGCAAGGGCCTGCTGGAGTCATCTTCCTTGTGCAGGCCATGGTTCTCCCCGCGTGGCCTGGCCCATGAAGGCATGTAGGAACAGGAAGACAGGAGTGGCCGAATGTCATGGGAGACAAGGGGCTCCCTCTCCCGCAGATGCTAAGCTTTGAATGAGTTTTGTAAGTCTTCCTTTCTTCAAATCAGTTCATGGGGGCGGCTATATAAGGGAGAGACAGGCTGGGGTTCTCCTGGGAAAGGGACTCCCTCGTCTCACCCGCAGTAGGACCTGAGAACTTATCCTCTCGTGGACTTCAGACAGCTCCAGTGTCTGGGGAGGAAAAAGAGGCAGGCTGCTCTCCTCAGGCCCGCCTCTTTCATCACCCAACTCCGTTCATCGCCAGGCTGAGCTGGGAGGAGAGGAGAAGGACCCCTTAAAGCCATGGCGGGCCACAAAAGCCATGGCGGGCCACAAAAGCCATGGCGGGCCACAAAAGCCATGGCGGGCCACAAAAGGCTGAGCCTCACCTCTCTGGCTGAGGAACCACCTGTACTGAGCAGTCGGCTCTGTTTTCCCTCCAGAATCCAGTCCTTTCCCATCACAGATTGCAAACATGGAAAAGAAGCCACTGAGACATCAGCAGATTGATTCATCTAAGGAAAAGAAAAGAAAGAAGGCAACCGTAAGAGCATAGCCAAACCCAAGAATTCAGACAAGCCCTCTCTAAATAGAGCCTGGGCCTGAGCTGCTGTGAGGTGGGGCAGCCGGGATGGGGGCTTTGGACCTGACCTGAAGCGAATGCCTGAAGATTCTCTTCCTTCACTGACACTCCTCCCCTGACACACCTGTCTTCAGGCCTCATTCCCTAGAAGCAGAGGGATTCCTGTGCAAATGACTTGTTGAGGGGTGTTCTCAGGAGAAACCCATGAAGAAGTAAGAGAAAGCAGGAGGAGGCAAAGGAGGAGCCTACGGAAACGCTTTCCAGCTGGGACAGCCTCACCGTGTCCCAGGCAGAGCCCTAGGGCCTGAGTAGTATGACAGCATCATCCCAACTCAAGGCTAGAAGCTGGCCTTCTGTATTCTTGTATCAATGGCTGCTGGGCACCTGCACCCCTTGGGAAGGCAGTTCCCCAGCTGAAGATGATTTTCTGGAGGAGGGCCAGCTAAGCAGCCAGCACTCACAGTGGCAGAGAATGGGTGCACTGGTCTCATGAAGTGCAATTGGGCAGGGTACCCACAGTGGCCCCTGTAACACCCTGATATACCCACGCCCACAGCTGACACACACGGATACTCACGAGGGCACACCTGCATGCACATGCCTGTCTGTGGCCTCCCTGTAATCAGGTTATCGAGGTCAGGAAAGGAGGGCTCCAGCACCTTCTCCAGGCTCTGCCCAGCACACCAGCAGCTGTGGTGTGGGTGGGGCTGCTGTCTGTTCTGTGGTCTGGCCTTGCTGCCTGTGTGCCCAGGATCCTGGTTCTGACTCTGTTCTGGATGTGCCATGGCTGTTCCCACTGTGTGTGCCATGCCACCACCATGCGTCCATGTCCCACTGTGCGTCCATGTTGCTACCCTGTATCTGTTTTGCTCCCAGCTAGATGTAGTCCCCACCCCCAGTGGCTTCCCAGAGCCCTTTCACAGCCCCCATACCCCAGCCCTAGACTCCAGTAGACCAGGATCACAGGAGCCCCAAGGTCCAGCCTTGGCTCAGCCCTGACCAGCCTATGGTGGCTCCATGGCAGGTCCCAGGGTGTGTCATGAAGAGGCTGCCTCCCTTCAGGGCGCCCCAAGCTCCTGCAGACTCTGGGCTCAAGGCCAAAGGCTGCTACTCAGCCCACACTCACACCTTTGCCCACCCTGGCCCACACCCCTGTCCACAGACCCCAGAGGACAGTTACTCCGAAGGCAGCACAGCAGACATGACCAACACTGCCGAGCTCCTGGAGCAGATCCCCGACCTCGGCCAGGATGTCAAGGATCCAGAGGACTGCTTCACTGAAGGTAATGTCCCGGCCACCCTCTGCCCGGCCCCAGTTCCACCCAGAGGGGACAGGAGGACCAGCAGCTCCTTGGACCCCAGGGCCACATGGCACCGACACCCTGCCTTAGATATCTGCCTACCTCCCCCAATTCCTCTGTGACCCTGGGGGTTCCTCCATCTGCCTGACCTGTCTGCCCCCGGAGTGCTGGGCTGGACAGCTCACCAAAGACTGGAGAGACTGTTTGTGGTGTGGTCGCACCACTGTGCGCCCCACAGCGGTCGGGTCTGGGTCTAATTCACTCCTGTACCACCAGGCCCTGGCACGGTTCCTGACACAGAGTAGGTCCTCTCTAAATCCTTGAGGCAGGTGTGACATGTGCCTGTGTTGACTGGCATCTATAGCTTTTATGGATTGGTGGTGTATTTGGAGCATAGCTGGGGATAGAATGAGAGCGTGGCCGGGTGCAGTGGCTCACACCTATAATCCCCACACTTTGGGAGACCGAGGCGGGTGAATCACTGGAGGTCAGGAGTTCGAAATCAGCCTGGCCAACACGGTAAAACTCCATCTCTACTAAAAATACAAAAAATTAACCAGGTGTGGTGGTGGGCACTTATAATCCCAGCTACTTAGGAGGCTGAGGCAGGAGAATCACTTGAACATAGAAGGCAGAGGTTGCAGTGAGCCAAGATTATACCATTGCACTCCAACCAGGGCAACAAAAGCAAAACCCCATCTAAAAAAAAAAATGAGAGCTTGCCCTCCATGTGACACATCCATAGGGGCTCTCACTGACGGGTATGCCCTTCCCAAGGCTCAGACACTACAAACATGGAGAAGGCCCAGAAGTTCCTGCCATTTCCCTAGGAGGATAGTTTCCCAGAGGAGCAGAGGACAAGCTAGAACCCATCCCAGCCCCAGCCTTGTCCCTGCCCAGACCTGCCAGGCTGTTCACCCAGTCGCTGAGTGCTCGGTCCACCCGTCCCCCTCAGAGTGCCTGCGGAGTGTGTGGCCCACACGGGCGGTGCCCGAGGCCCTCGCCCGCCGTATCGCCCCGTCCTTCTGCCCCCCGCACCATCGTAGGCTCTTTCTCTCAGTCTTCACTTCAGCCATCCAACCTTCTGTCATTAGACGTGGGCATTCACAGTCCCTGAGCTGGGCCTGACCCTCACACTCTCCCACAGGCTGTGTCCGGCGCTGTCCCTGCTGTGCGGTGGACACCACACAGGCCCCAGGGAAGGTCTGGTGGCAGCTGCGCAAGACCTGCTACCACATTGTGGAGCACAGCTGGTTCGAGACGTTCATCATCTTCATGATCCTGCTCAGCAGTGGAGCGCTGGTACCCTCCTGGGGATGCAGGGTTGGGGCAGGGACGGTCGGAGGAGGAGGGGAGGGCAGGGAAAGGAGGTCTCCAGCTGGAAAGCCAGGTCAGAAACTGGGGCAGAGCCTCTGCTGAAAATGAGCTCCTCAGGCCCCCAGAGCAGGGAACAGCTCACAAACTCTCAACACCCACAGCACGTATGGAGGCCAGAGCAGGAAGGGCTCACAGGGCGCAGATGTCCAGGCCTTCTTTTGCCACAAAAGGGAAATGATTTGCCCCAGATCACCAGCCTCCCACACCGGAGCTCTAGTGACACACAGCACCAGTGTTCTGTCACACTGTCACAGTGCAGGTGACCATGCTGGCTCCGCTTAGTCCATGTATTCTACAGGCTGGAGGCTGCGCCCTGTAGTTCACACATGATTACATTTAATCCCCATGACAACTCTTTGTGGAAACAGCAAGTAACTTTTCCAACGTCCCAACACTCAGGAACCTCAGATCTGGCATTTGAACCCAAGCAGTCAGATTCCAGAGTCCTTTGTCTTCACCTCTCATTTGTTCTGTCAGTCTTCTAAGCCCACCTTGTATCTAGCTCTGTGTATCCAACCATGAGTGAGCCACAGGAGGAGGAGACCCCAGCCCTGGCCTCAGGGTCACCCAGTCTAGTTGGAGGAAACGAGATTCAGCAGGTGTGAGATAGCCAAACATCAGCACAGGAGAGAGTGAAGCAAGAACAGAGTAGAGGACTCAGGGTGATGGGAGGTCAGAGGGGGTGGAGCAATCAGGGAAGTCTCCCTGGAGGAAGCAAATAGAGCTGGACTGTGGAGAACAGGGAAGTGTTGAAACCAGGAGGAGCAGTGAGGCCCTCCAGGGTGCCCCATCTCGCTCCAGGAACCTACTCTAATCTCTCAGACCACTTACAGGAAGAGATGGAACAGCCCTGGAGGGGGTTCTGGAAGGTGCTGGTGAGCAGGGAGAGGTGTGATTAAGAAGGCAGAAGACAGCTGGGTGCAGTGGCTCATGCCTGTAATCCCAGCACTTTGGGAGTCTGCAGCAGGCAGATCACCTGAGGTCAGGAGTTCGAGACCAGCCTGGCCAACATGGCAAAACCCCGTCTCTACTTAAAATACAAAAATTAGCCAGGTGTAGTGGTGGGCACCTGTAATCCCAGCTAGTTGGGAGACTGAGGTATGTGAATCACTTGAACCCAGGAGGCGGATGTTGCAGTGAGCTGAGATCATGCCACTGCACTCCAGCCTGGGAGATCAAGTAAGACTCTGTCTCAAAAAAAAAAAAGAAGATGATGATGATGAAGGCAGAAGACATGGAAACTTTGCTGGACCAGGGGAAGTAAGAACCTGTATTGCTGGGAAGGTGAGAACTCCATAGATGAGCAGCTAACAGAGAATGCTTTAGACCACAGAGTGAGAGAAAGGGCACTTTGATTCAAGGCTATGTCCCTCCACTCCATGCTGCCTCCTCCTGTGGGGTTAGGCCATGGGGAGGCACTGTGGCTGTCACTTCTGAACATCTGGGCCTCCCACCCCACCCCATGCTGCCCACTCCTGTTCCAGAATGGGCCTGGAGCCATGATTGCAGCTTGCCTGCTGTTTTACCATTGGCAGCTAGAGCCAAATCTCTGTAGGTTTCAGAGAAAGATGGTTTGACAATATGTTAACGAGTTTTGTTTTTAAACAGCCACAAACAAGGGCAGCTAGAGCCATTTCGTCTGGGCTGTGGAGGAGAAGCTCAGCCTGGCATAAGTGAGGAGGAGTTTTGGCAAGCATCTGGTGAATCTAATCAGGGTAGACAGCCAAGCTCTGTTGTTAAAAAATCACGTCAATGATATATTGAGAAAAAGAGAAATCTAAGTGTGTTATTTAAAGTTGTAAACTTGTTTTACAGAAAGCAAACTATATGCCTTCCAAACTGCTGAGGGAAATTTTAAGAAAAAAAAAATCTCACAGCAAAAGATAGAAGAAAAAAAGAAGTAGCAAGAAAACATAAAATCAGAAACAAAATAATGTAATAAAGGCAAGATCAAACATGTGTTTTAATAATAAATGTAACTGGATAAAATTCATCTTTTAAAATGAAAGGACTTGGCCAGGCTCGGTGGCTCATGCCTGTAATCCCAGCACTTTGGGAAGCCAAGATGGGCAGATCACGAGGTCAGGAGATCGAGACCATCCTGGCCAACATGGTGAAAACTCATCTCTACTAAAAATACAAAAAAATTAGCCAGGCATGGTGGCACATGCCTATAGTCCCAGCTACTCAGGAGGCTGAGGCAGGAGAATTGCTTGAGCCCAGGAGGCAGAGATTGCAGTGAACAGAGATGGCGTCACTGTACTCCAGCCTGGGTGACAGAGCTAGACTCCACCTCAAAAAAAAAAAAAAAGGAAAGGATTCAGAATGGATCCAAATTTAAAAAGAAAAAAACCTTTTAGCCATTTGCTTTCAAATGACAAACCCCTCAAACCTAAAACAATGTGATTCGGAAAGATTAAAAGCCACCAGGCTTGACAGCTCGCACCTGTAATTTCAGCACTTTGGGAGGCCAAGGCAGGAGGGCGGCTTGAGCTCCAGAGTTCAAGACTAGGCTGAGTAACATAGCAAGACCCCACCTCTACAAAAAGATTTATTTATTTATTTTTTTGAGACAGAATCTAGCTCTGTCACCCAGGCTGGAGTGCAGTGGTGCCATCTCAGCTCACTGCAACCTCCACCTCCCAGGTTCAAGTGATTCTCCTGCCTCAGCCTCCCAAGTAGCTGGGATTACAGGCACGCCCTACCAAGCCCAGCTAATTTTTGTATTTTTAGTAGAGACGAGGTTTCATTGTGTTGGCCACGCTGGTCTCGAACTCCTGACATCTTGATCCACCTGCTTCAGCCTCCCAAAGTGCTGGGATTACAACCATGAGCCACCTGACCCAACCTGCAAAATGATTTTTAAAAATTAACTGGGCACAGTGGCATATAGCTGTGGTCCCAGCTACTTGGGAGGCTGAGGGGAGAGGATTGCTTGAGCCTGAGAGGTCAGGGCTGCAGTGAGCCCTGTTCACACCAATGTTCTCCAGCCTCGGTGACAGAGCAAGACCTTGTCTAAAATATATTATATATAGAGAGATATAGTGAACTAATAAAGTAGATCAGGCAAATGCAAATAATGACTACAAATTCACAGTGCTTTTTTTTTGTTGAATTCAAGATTAAAAGCTTGAGATGAGACACAGAGGGTCCAACCTATAGTATAAATGTAACTATTGGCTGGGTGCAGTGGCTTATGCCTGTAATCCTAACACTTTGGGAGGCTGAGGCAGGAGGATGGCTTGAAACCAGGAACTCAAGACCAGCCTAGCATAGTGAGACCCCATCTCTACAAAAAAGAAAAATTAACCAGGCATGATGGCACATGCCTGTAGTCCCAGATACTCAGGATGCTGAAGCGGGAGGATTGATTGAGCCCAGGAGGTGAAAGCTGCAGTGGGCCATGTCACTGCATTCCAGCCTGGGTGACAGAGCAAAGCACTGTTTCAAAAAAAAAAAGTGTGTGTGTGTGTGATATATATATATATATATATATATATATTCATATTATATATATATAAAAGAATATACAAAATATATAAATATATTTATATCTATTATATTTTATATAATATATTTAATATATAAATATATATGGATATATATTTATAAAAATATAATTATATGTACATGTTTATATAATTATATAAACCTATAAAAATATGATTATATATTGATATAATATAATACATAATTATAAATACCCGTATAAATACAGATGCATATTTATATATTATTTTATACATAACTATTATGTATACATTTGCTTGGGATTGCATAGCACGTAAATATGTAAAACAAAAAACAGGAAAAAGTGACAGTAGTGCACTGGTACTGGGAAACTTTACCATATTTCTATTAGTTCTTGACATTCAAGTAGAAAAAATGAGACAAGTGATCTAAATACATATATATTTTTATATATAATAAATTTGGCCTAACTTAATAATAAAGATAATAACTAACTCTTAAATAGAACTCACTATATTCCAGATACTGTTTTAAGCATTTTTTAAGCATTAATTCATCTAATTCTCATAATAACCCTATGAGATAGGTGCTATTATTCATCCTATTTTACAGATATGGGAAGTGCTGGAAATGGAAAAAATAGAAGGATAAAAACAAACAACTAATATGTAAAAGTCCTTCTTAAATAAACCTTGGATCAAACAGAAAATAGTTTGGTGGTAGTTCATTGGTGTTCAGTTGATTAATTAGTTAATTAACAAAAGAAGGCCATTCATGGACCAAAGATGATGATAGTGTGCAATAAATCAAAGATTGTGATTCAATTAATTCTGTCCATGTGAGATCTGGAAAAATAAGAAAAGTGTAGCGGTAGAGAAAAGGCTGTGACTAGTAGAAAAAAACTGGAAAATAACAGTATTGAGAATACTGCATGTGGAGTACAGCCAAAGCTGTAATAAAAGGAAAATTCATTGCTTATTTTTATTATTAAATAGAAAGAACATAAATAAATTATTTAACTCAAGAAATAAAAAATATAATAATCTCAAAGAAACCATGGCAAGTAATTAATAAAGACATTTTTTCCTCTGTCCCATATGATCTGCAGTAATAAAAACACATATTAATAATTTAGAAAATAAATAGTAAAACTGATATAAAATTCCAAAGCTGATTCCTTGAAAATTTAAAGCAATCAAATTGATAACCACTAGCTAATCTAATTTCTCACATCTCCAAGAATAGATTCTTTCACATTCTCAAGGAAGAAAATAATTTCAGTGCTATTTAAAGTACTCTAGTGCATGAAAAAGGATGGAAAGTCTAGAAATTATTTTTTTAAAAGCTAAATAGTGCTGATTTTTAAAACCTCAGGTATACCAAAAGGAAAACGTAGGCCAGTTTTCATGCTTCATACTCCATACTTATGAAGAGTGATGCAAAAATCTCAAACAAAATATATACAGATAGGATCCAGAAATATATTTAAAAGATTGAGTACATCATATGGCAAATATGTCATAGCCTAAAATGTGAGAATAGTACCATATTAGGAAAACTATATTAATAGGACAAAGATGAAAAATCATATAATTATCTTAATGAGTGCCTGATTTTAAAAACTCTGGTAAGAATAGAAAAAAAAAGTTGGGCACGGTGGCTCAGATTTGTAATCCCAGCACTTTGGGAGACCAAGGTGGGCAGATCAGGGGGTCAGGAGTTCAAGACCAGCCTGGCCAACACAGTGAAACCCTGTCTCTACTAAAAAATAGCTGGGCGTGGTGGTGGGCGTCTGTAATCCCAGCTACTCGGGAGGCTGAGGCAGGAGAATCGCTTGACCCTGGGAGGAGGAGGTTGCAGTGAGCTGAGATTGAGCCACTCCAATCTAGCCTGGATGACAGAGTTAGACTCTGTCTCAAAACAATTTTTTTAAAAAGAAATAAAATGTATTTTCTTCTATTGAATCCAAAGGACAAAAAAAAAAAGAAAATATATTTTCTTAATGTAGTAAAAGCTGGCTCTCAAATTAACTCATGTCATCATTAGTAGTAAAACCACTTGAAACGTTTTCATTAAAGTCAAGAATAAGAAAAGGATGATTTAACTACCTTTTTTAGCTATTGCTCATTATTTAATAATAGTCTTGAATTACTAGCCAGTGTAATTAATTTTAAAAATTAAACACATTATATAAAAGTTGGAAAATAAAATAATTGAAGTTAATCCAGTCAAGTATAAGAGCAAGAGTTAAAAACGATAGAACTATATCATTATTTATAGATAATATGATTGCCTAGAAAATAATTTAAACCTATTTTTAAAACATTATATAGCCAGTTATGAAATGAACATGCAAAGAATTGTTGCTGTTGATGTTTTATCCTAAGAGAAGCTATTTAGTCATAAGCAACAGCTCTCAAATATTTCTTACATGCCATGTACTGCAAGCATCAAATAATTAGGAATAAATATAATAATAAATGTATAAGACATGCATGAAGAAAACTGTAAAACTTTGCCGAGCAGTATAAAACAGAACAAATAGATAAACATACCCTCATCTTGGATAGGAAGACTTCATATTAGTTCCTAAAGTAATTAATAGATTCAGTGCAATAACAAGTTTTCAACAGTTCTAAGTAAATATGACAAAACATTGGTAAAGCTTATCTTGAAAATTATTTAAAATGTCCAGAGAAATTCATGTGATACTAATTCAGGAATAGACACAGAACAGTAGAACCACATAAAGAGATCTGAAATAGATTTAAGTAAATAAAGAAATGTACGATATGATAAACTTGACTTTTAATCAATGGATTTTAAGTGGATTATTTAATATTTTAAGTGGATTATTTTAAGTGGATTATTTAAAGTCTTGGGGCAGTTGATGAGCCAGATTCTGAAAAAAAGTATTAAAATGGATATTTACCCCTTACCAAACTACGTTTAATTTTTAAAATTGTAATGTAAAAGAATGAAACCACAAAAAATGTTTTAAGAATCTCATTTTTTTCTAGACTTGGAATAAATAGGGCTCTCTTAGCACAACACCAAAAATTTTACTAAATGAAAATTATAATAAATGATATAATCATAGTAAATGATATAATAATAATGGAAAATGAAGTATATAGAACTTCAGTATGAGATTTAAAGGTAAACAAAAGTAAGTGAGATTTAAAGACACACAAGAAACCAAGATGGTGTTACCAAAGAGTTAATATCCCCAAATAAACCAGACACTCAAATACAAAAACCAGCAAAGGATATGAACAGATAATTCACAAAAGGAACACTGCAGATATCCAAAGAAGACATGTCGGCATTGCTCCTAATAAAATAAATGAGAATGTAATGAAATACAAGTTTCTTTCATTAGGCCGGGAAAAGTGAAAAAGGAGAAATGACAGCAATGTTGGGTGGGGGTGCTGGAGAAGAGCCCCCTTCCTGCCCCGGAGATGGAGTGTCAGTTGGTGCTGCCTTCGAAGGGCCCATTCCCAGACTGCACCAAAAGCACACCTCTGGCCTGGAAACCCAGTTTATCCTCAACAATCCTCTGTCCGCTGCAACTTTATGTCTACTAGGGATAAACTGTAAATAACTGAAATGTGCATGATTAATAAGGTTATTGGCTAAATAAATAGTAGTGTGTGCAAATAATGAAATCATGCAGCCTTTTAAAAGAGTGTTAGATATTATTGCATATATTCATGTCACTGAGTGAATAAATGTTCACAACATATTGTTTAATGGAGAAAGTAATTTCAAAGCAAATATTTAGCAAATAAAATTGTGATTGTGTGTGTGTGCACACACATACACACTGTCAAAAAGAATGCTCATGTAAATGTTAGCAGTGGTTACTTTGGCATCATGAAATTAGAGATGCCTTTCACTTTCTTTTTCATACTTTCTATACTATTTAACTTTTATAAGATGTACACATTTTTATACTCAAAAATATACAATACAACTACTTTTTTATTTTTAATCTTGAACAACTTCCAAAGTCCATTTTGGGACCTGAATGATCCTGTCATTCCGTCTACACTGGCCCAGTGAGCCATCTGTATGCCTCAGCAGTGCCAACGGCTCTGGTCTCCTGGGTCATAGTCGCTCAAAGAGGCCCTGAAGTCAGACGGAGAGGCCCAGTAGTGGCAGGTGGAGGCAGCTCCCCCAGGACCCTAGTGACGTGTTCAGTTGCCTAGACGGGTGCCTCAGAGCACACGCTGGACAGAGAAACAGGAACAAGTCAGTGGGCTGGAGGTAGAAACCCTCTGGGAGCCACTGGAGTTTCTGTTAGCTCAGGAATTTGGGTTGAGGCAGAAATGAGGAGGTGGAGAAAGACTTACAACTCCTAGCACGTTGGAAACTCTCAGTTTTAGAGCGTGAGAACTGCAGGAGATTTGACGCTATGCCTGTGGTTCCTAAACATCACATCTGCAAACCACTTTTACTATCATTTCTTTAAAATTCAGCTTTACATCTGCTCTCACTGGTTTTTGCTTATTTAAATACATGTTTTGTAAAGTGAAACTTCATCATTATTAATTGGAAACCAATATTTTTCCCAAGAAAAGTAAGTAAATGTATAAAGTAAATAAAGCTAAAGCAAAATGGAGTGAAAACAAAAATATTTTATGTTGTTTCCAACAGAAAGCTGTGAGCTGAGTCTGCATATCCTCTCTCCTTGTTAAAATGGCAAGTTTTGGCCGGGTGTGGTGGCTCAGGCCTGTAATCCCAGCACTTTGGGAGGCTGAGGTGGGTGAATCACAAGGTCAGGAGTTCAAGACCAGCCTGACCAACATGGTGAAACCCCATCTGTACTAAAAATACAAAAACCTCTCTGGGCATGGTGGTGGGCGCCTGTAATCTCAGCTGCTAGGAGACTGAGGCAGGAGAATCTCTTGAATTTGGGAGGTGGAGGTTGCAGTGAGCCGAGATCGCACCACTGCACACTAGCCCAGGTGGCAGTGCGAGAGAAGACTCAGTCTCAAAAAAAAAAGGAAAAAAAGAAGAAGAGATAAAATGGCAAGTTTTAGAAAGGCCTGGCCCAAAACTCAGACTTGATCTTCGTTGTGAAGGGAGAGAGGGTTGCCCCATTCATTCTGCCTTGCTGTCCAGCTACCATGTAAGGCCATCTCATGGCCGGCAGTGGCACAGGCCCGCCTGGAAGGCACACTTGTCTAGTCCAACGCTGACTGGGAGGAACCCTGTCCGCTGCACTTCTCACCCCGTCCCCGCTCTCCTGGGCAGCAGGAGATGCTGCATGCAGGGTGGGATCAGCAGTGGTACAGACTCCATGTCCGCCTTGTTCGGCCTTGTCTGCAGGCCTTCGAGGACATCTACCTAGAGGAGCGGAAGACCATCAAGGTTCTGCTTGAGTATGCCGACAAGATGTTCACCTACGTCTTCGTGCTGGAGATGCTGCTCAAGTGGGTGGCCTACGGCTTCAAGAAGTACTTCACCAACGCCTGGTGCTGGCTCGACTTCCTCATCGTGGACGTGAGTGTGGGCACGCAAAGGGAACAGAGGACGGGGAGACCCACTGCTGGTGCCGGTGCAGAAGGAGGAGCTGAGGCAGAGGTCCCGATGGGAGCCAGCAGGCTGAAGGGGAGGCAGAGGGGAAGGAGGACATGAGTCTGAGAGACCCAGGCCTTGTCCTCAGGGCCCCAGTCTCAGAGGAAGAGAAGAAATGGGAGACAGGGTCCTGCCACTAGAGCCCCCTATTCGGAGCCACAGCAGTGAGAGATGGAGGCCCCTGCTTCTGGGGGATAGTTCGAGAGCAGTCAAGGGCGTGAGCCAGGGCAGGAGCTGGGGGCTCAGGGTCCAGACCGGGAAGTGAGCAGACAAGCTTGTGCTCTACAGCAGACTGAGTGCCCATCAGGCCCACTCGACACATGGCCAGCTCAGAGCCTCCACGCACACACGAAGGGGGCAGAGTGAGCCGCGGGCCAGGGGGAGAAGGCTGCTGAAGGGATGCTGGGCAGGCGTGGGAAAGCCTCTGTCTCAGGGAGAAGGTACCAGCTGGGGAGGATGAGAGGGGTGGAGTCACCCGGGAGGAGGAGGAAGCCATGGACACCGGACAGGGGCTCTGGGTCACTGCCCTAGATGATCAGGTGGCTCTGAGGGCTGCCTGCCCGGGTTGTGTCCAAGGAGGGTCTGGGGCAGGGGGTCATTGTGGCTTCCGAACACCCGGTTGGCAGATGGAGCGTGAAGCCCCTGCCCCACAGCTACCCAGGCCCCACGACTGCTGGGTGCCAGACAGCATGAATGCAGCGTCTGACAGGGGCCCTGACCTCAGTCAAGAGGGAGAGCAGCTGAGGGGGGAGGAGCAGGGGTCAGTGCAGGGCAGCCCTGGGTCTGCACTCACCAAGGTCAAAGGGAGTGAAGGCCAAGGGTCAGGTGGGGCTGCCTCTCTGCAGGGTCCAACCAAACAGCGTGGGAGGCAGGACCTGCAGCCTGAAGTGGGCTTTCCAGAGGCACCGGGTTTGCTGATGGCTTCCAGTCTTGACACCGGGCTCTGCACACCAGCAGGGGCTGTCTTTCCTGTGGCTGCTGAGCAGACTCAGGCCTGAGCCATCTCCATACCCTGCTCAGAGGCTCAGGCCCCAGCAAGCCTGGCCAGAGTCCAGGTTCAGGCTACCAAGGCTGGGTGGGAGGTCAGACTGTGGGTGGCCGTGGTGGCAGAGGTGCCTTGGGTAGAAAGGAGGCACAGAGATGCAGACCCAGGTCCTTGGACCTGCAGTCCAGCCTCTTCCTATCGCCCCAGGTAGCTGAGAGGTTGCTAATGCTGGGGTGAGGGGTGCTGTGATGGAAGGGGGGCTCTAGACACACTGGACTGCCCGGCCCAGCCCTCAGAGCCTCCCCGAGGTGAAGGAGAGGCCCCTGAGGCCTCCCTGTGAAGGGACCAAGGGAGGGCCTGGAGTCCTGGCAGCTCAGCCCGGGGGGTCCCGGACCCGCTCTTGCCCCAGCATCTTAGGCAGCTGGGCCTGCTGAGGGTTTCCCGAAAGGCAGGCCAGAGGGTCTCTGCACAGACTTCTGGGAAGCCCCCCCACAGCCACCAGCCACCTTGGGGGGCTCAGAGCCAAGGCAAGAGAAAGGGAACTGCCAGTGCTTCCCTGTCCAGGCCCAGGAGAGGAGAGGGAGCCTGTGGAGAAAGCAGCCGAGGCTCACAGCAGGGAGCAGCCGTGCCCAGGCTGAGCAGGACTGGCCATGCCGCTGCACCCCACCCCATCCGTAGGCTTCACGGGAAAGTGTGTCTCAGGCCTCAGAGTCTAGGGAAGGAAGATGAATTCTGCATTATTTCTCAGTAATTGCTACTGGGTCTCTACTGTCTGCAAGCACTGTTGCGGTGCTAGGGATCTCAGGAACAAAATAGCTCTTCCCCACATCGGGGAAGTGGCTGCGATCAGCATGACCAGTCAGCCGCTGACACACTATGTGAGGAAGCGGAATCTGCCATGGAGCAAAGAGAACCCGGGAAGGGAAGCGGGGGGCGGGGGAGGCGCAGGTTACACTTTAAATAGGAGGGTCACAGTCGGCCCTCTTTCTCTTTGGTGACGTTTGAGTGCGTTTGAAGTTGGGGTTAGCCAGGCTGATGTCTGGCAGACGTTCCTAGCGGAGGCTGGAAGAGCAGCGCAAGGCCCGTGTGGCCGGAGCCCGCCTGGCGTCCTGGAGGGAAGGCGGGGAGGCGACGGCGACGGAGCAGAAGGAAGCGCAGGAGATGAGGCCAGACTGCAGCCTCCGAAAAAAACATGGGCTTTGATTTAGAATGATGTGGGGTAGCAGGGCGGAATCGGAGGGCTCTGGACGGAAGACTGCCGTGAGCTGACAGGTTTTCTTAAGGGGTCACTTAGTCACGGGGGCGGGGGTAGACAGCCCGTGAGTAGAAACAAGGAGAAGAGCTGGGAGGCTCAGGCAGTGATCCAGGGAGACACGGTGGCGGTGGCGGCTGGGCCAGGACGGTGGCCGTAGAAGTGGTAAGAAATGTTTGGACTTCAGATGTATTCTGAAGGCAGAGCCAACAGGAAATCCTGACGGGTTAGACACAGGGTGTCAGAGACAGAGGAGGCAGGGATGACAGCAAGCACCGTGGCCTGCACAGGTGGAGAGAGGCAGTTGCCATCACCTGAGACGGGATGGGGCAAGCTTTAGAAAGAACAAAGACTGTAAGGTGGCCTGTTAGGAACTGGCAGGCACACCATGGGCCTGGCTGGCGCTCTGGAGGCCCCGCCCTCGAGGAGAGGTCCCTGAGAGATGCCCCCGCCTCTCCAGGATTGGGGGCCCACAGCCCAGCATCCTTGAGTGGTGAGTGGGGGCAACACAGAAGTCAGTCTGGAGCCTCTTCCTCCCCCAGGCCTCTGCCCAGCTCCCTCCCACCTGGTACTGCCAAGCCTGGGAGGAGGCTGTGGGAGTCAGGTCCCTGCCCCCAGCGTCTCCTAACCCCAGGCTGGCCTGGGCACCAGGGCAGTGTTAATGGTGACTGCAGGGGAGGTCAGGCAGGGGGCCATCTTCAGCCTGTGATCACAGGCCAGCGGTGAAGTAAGAAGGGAGCGGATGCCCAGGGAGCTTTAGAAGGATAAAATCCACAGAGTGGAAGTGCCCTGGGAGGGGCAGGGCAGAGGAAACAGAGGCCTGAGGCTCCTGGTGCCACCAAGTCCCCACATTTGCTTTTCTCCTTTGAAGATGCTGAAATGTCGCACAGTCTGGTTTTGGGAAAATGCCCCACGATTATCTGTCTGTTCCCACTCACCCCAGGACTGCCTCTCCTTCCCAAAAAAGGGCTTCTTTGGGGAAGAAAGAGACAGGTCCAAGAATTTGAATTGAAGGAAAGAATGTGGAGACCAAAAGCCCAGTCTTTGTGTCCCCGCTCTGCCACAGCAGCAGGGCGCCTCTGGAATTGTTTTCCCATCTGTAGAATAGGGGAGTTGCATCCCAGCGTCGCAGGGTTAGTGTGGCTATTACAGAGCATGTGTGTGAAGTACACACCTCAGCCTCTCAGTAAAGGCCCAGAAGCCAGGACACTCTTGGGCTCGCCCCAGCTTGGGCTCCAGGAAGCCTAGCCCAATGTGTAGCTAGCCTGTGATGACAGTCCAACCCAGGACTAATAAAGAGTGGACCCAGCACTGTCTTAGGGGCATCAGAAGCCCTACCGTCTGTCCCCAATGGTGGGGAGCTGTCCCCATCCTCCCCACTTCCACTTTGCCTCCCACAGGTCTCTCTGGTCAGCCTGGTGGCCAACACCCTGGGCTTTGCTGAGATGGGCCCCATCAAGTCACTGCGGACGCTGCGGGCACTCCGCCCCCTGAGAGCCCTGTCACGATTTGAAGGCATGAGGGTAAGGGAGGTGGCTGCCTTCCTACCAGGGAGTGGGAGGCAGTCCCACGGAGGGACGCACCCAGGGCCCCTCCCTGTGTTTCTGCTGTCCTGTGGCTATAGCTGACTTGGTAGGAGCATGGCCCCGAACCTCCAGGAGAGGCACAGCTAGGCATGGAGGCACCCTGAGGGTAGATGGCTGTGAAAGCCCACCCCCAGGGCTCACCCACCCCCAGGGCTCACCCACCCCCAGGGCTCACCACCCTCCTGCCCTGTGGGCTCCCGTGAGGGCTGGGAGAGCACCAGACAAAGGAGAGGAAGCAGGACTCACTGGGCACAGGGGTCTCAGCTGCACCCCGGGCCACTGTCACCAGGACCCCTGTGCCTCAGCTGTCCTGCTGGGCTGCACCCCTGTGTGCCCACTCTGTGTGCCCCTCTGCATGCCCTGCCTCCTGACAGACACAGGCTGCCAGCCGTCTGTGATGGGCAGTGGGGCTGTGGTCAGGAGGGTGAGGGAAGAGGCACAGAGCAAGCTGCATTCCCAGGATCAGGCTGGAGAGGAGGTAACCGTGTGATGAGTGATCTCCTTCACACTGTTTTCCTCGTGCAGATCCCTATGCATTTTCCAAGTCACCACATTCTACCAAAGAATGTGAGCAAATAAGGCAGACTTGAAAACCCACCAAGAAAAACATTAGTCATGACATGTAGCAAGAAAACGAATACACGTGTGTGTTTGCGTGTACTTGTGTGGGGTATTTTTTTTTTACCAAAACATACACAGCTCTGTGTGACTTCAGAAGACATATTTGTCTCTCACTGACCCAGCAGACACCATCACACCGCTCAGCTTACCAGCTGGTTGATGGGTTTGAACCTTGCCCACACCCCCAATCCATGGAGAAACAGATAGCTCATTCCTGGTGGGAAACCGTCCACAAGTTATTATTCAGAGTTAAGTGTCTCTTTGGGAGCAAGGACATTTGATTCCAGAGGGACACGAGGAGACACTAGGTGCCAGGAATGCCTCTGCGGTGGCCACTGGCCACAAAGCCAGCCAAGGCCAAACTCCCAAGGCTTCCTCACCTCACTCTGCACCCTGATGTTTGGTGCCCTACGAGCTGAGTTTCCCACCCTGTTCCAGGGTTCAGCGTGCCTGCTGGGGAACAGCGGCCCCAACCTGGCATCTGGGCCACACCACACAGTCCACAGCAGCTTCACCTCCAGTCAGTGTGGCACACATGTTCCTGGTGTGTGGACAGCTGGGAACTTGTCCTTGAGTGGGGTGGAGGGTCCCAAATGCCTCTACTAGGGAATCCTCTCCAGGGTGCTGTGAGTTTAGATGCAGAGCGTGAAGCCGTGGCTCCATGGGATCTGAGAGCCCCTCACTGGGCAGCGGGTGTCATGGGAGTGCCCATGCCGCCTGCTCTCTGACTCTGCTCTTAACGGGAGCACTGGAGAACTGCCACAGCACCCTCCAGACACTGCACTGAGGTCTTCTGGGCTACTTCAGGGGAGAACACCCATCCATCCAATGGCAACAATCTAAAATAAACCAGAATTTAGTTCTGAGAATGTAAGGACACGTGAGATTTTTAGGAAGCCTGAAAATCTTCCTTGGGGACATGTTTTGAGGGGTCCTTTCCCATCAAGTTGCTGGCATCCTCAACCAGCACACACCTTGGTGAAAAACAAGTTTTGGAGATCACAGATTCAGGGCAAGAAGGAGAGCAGACGTTCTGAGGCCACACCAGACCCTACGGTGTGCTCCCCTCACTCCCCACCAGGGCTGCTGGCCGTGGAGCTGGCCTCTCCCATGATGGGACCTGCACACCCACCTGCAGCCAGGGAGTTCAGCCGGTGGGGTAGGGGGATCTTGAAAAGGGCATGAGCTCCGAGCCCCCCAGGAACTGAGCCACCTCTCTGTCCACTTGAGGTGGTAGTCAATGCGCTGGTGGGCGCCATCCCATCCATCATGAACGTCCTCCTCGTCTGCCTCATCTTCTGGCTCATCTTCAGCATCATGGGTGTGAACCTCTTCGCGGGGAAGTTTGGGAGGTGCATCAACCAGACGGAGGGAGACTTGCCTTTGAACTACACCATCGTGAACAACAAGAGCCAGTGTGAGTCCTTGAACGTGACCGGCGAATTGTACTGGACCAAGGTGAAAGTCAACTTTGACAACGTGGGGGCCGGGTACCTGGCCCTTCTGCAGGTGGTAAGTCCTGGAGAAAAGGCACTTCCTTCCTCCCACTGGCTGTTAAGCAGCATGGCCATCACCCACGAAGTGGGCAGGAGGGGGAGCTTGGGGCCATGCTGGATCCTCATAGGAGGATCACGGTGCCCAAAGGAGGCTCAGGGCTCTCCAGGGATTTGGCTCCTTGGGAGATCCCCAGACTTTCAGTTCTAGAACCAATACCACATTCTCCAAATTGCAGAGTATGGGGACAGGTCAGTGCTGCCATAGAACCGGCTCCCCAGCCAGCAGTCAAGTTGGCCTCTTCAGGCTCTAAGTGAGGCAGTGTGATGGCACAGGCTGAAAAATGAAAGACTAGACTACCCAGGAACTGAACTATTAGCAAGGTTGTGACTGTGGCCACTCTGTTATAAAAGATAGTGATAGCTCTTGTGTTGTTTAAAAGGACATATTTCCATCTTTGATGTGCAATGTTTAAGCACACACAATCCTTCTAGAGTTTCCACTGATTTTGTGAGTATGGTGGCTTCAGTGATTATAATACATTCCATAAAATTAATTTACCATTAGCATGGACAACAGATATGCGAACAGAACCACAATGCATAAAGCTGCATGCTTGTCTTGCGATCCCAATCTTAAGCCCAGACACCTGCCTCTGGTCCCCAAAGCAGAGGAAAACTCAGCAGACTCTCACCTGAAAACTTTTTATGCATCCACTCACACCTCCACTATCCCTTAAGCCCCAGTGGTAGTCCCACAGAGACCTCCCTGCACTGCCTAGTGGACAATGGTAGATTAGCACCAAACACAAAGAGCTGTCTCTTCTTGCAGCTGTCCCTCGGAATGTCGGAACTTTGGAAAAAAGGCCTCCTTTGTAGACTAAGAACTGCTCACCTTTTCAGGCAAAGCCCCTCGGTGTTTGGGAAGAATTCAGTCATAAGTATCTCATACCCTTGGGTGGTCCCCAGCAGTTTCCAAATTATTTCCAGACCTGTCTTTACAGGCAAGGGCCTCTTGGTACACGGAGCTGAAGTAGCTTGCCTACTGTGGGTGGCCTCAGCTTCCCCATCTGCCCTGCCTGCCTCATGAGAATTCATAAGGCACAGGAAGTTTGTCTAGCTGGGCTGGTGCTGAGAAAGGAGGCTCAGGGCAGGACTGGATTTGGCCAGAAACACAAGTGAGACTTCACTGGAGAGCCAGCCTCACCACCGAGCATGTCTCCTGGGCTCTTTCTGCATAGCAGCCCAGACTAGGGCAGACAATGCAGCCAGCACCAGGGCCCTCTGTGGCTCAGCCTCCCTCTTTACTCCCTTGGTGTGGTGCACTGGAGCCGGCTGGTGCCAGCTCACAAGAGCTCGCTGTTACATTTTCAGAAATTTTGCAAGCTGTTTATTAAACAGCCATGATAAAAAATTAAATTCTATAAACTTATAAAATTAAATGGTATTAAAACAAGGTAATAAATACTCAAGATTCATCATTACCTTTTAGTATTATCCTCTATGCTCTTGAGGTATCCCACATCTATCGTGTCTGTACAGCGGAAGTGCCATAATGCTAAGCTCCTATACATCTCTTCTCAACTCCGTTGAGTAACTTCACATTGGTGACCTGAAATCGACCATGCCATGGGAATATTTACACAAGAGAAATCGGCAAACCAACAATCAGGGTTTTTTTCTTTCCTTCTGGGAAGTCAGCTGTTAACCATTTACAACACACCATTGGCAAAAGAACCCCCTGAAGTACAAGGGAAGGTTGAGATTCTTCGGGAACTCACCTTGGAAGTCCATGGAGCAGAAGCCACATGGTTCTCTGAGACGTAGGACAAGGGGGACTAGGTCAGCCCTAGAGTCTAGAACACAGCGTTTAAGCTCGACCTCTGTCTCCCTGACAGAATCACTGGCAGGATTCTGGGACGTTTTAGAAATGGAAATGAGTATGGATCTGAAGGGCAGTCCTCCTGCAAGCACCCTCAGACTCTTGGCTTAATCAAGAAGCTTTATTCCTTGCTGCATGGCCTTCTTGGGGTGTCCTCTCAGCTGCTTCCCCTCCACCCCCAGCCCTAAACAAGGTTTTTCTCTGACCACCCAGGATGCTACTGAAGGGGTGGGGTGGGTGGTTTGCTTTTCATAAGGAGCTTGCTTCATCTCTCTAGACCAGAGCCCTAAATAGCTCAAGCGAGATGCGGAATTAAATGATTGTCTTAATCTTATCTTTTCCTCCCAGGCAACATTTAAAGGCTGGATGGACATTATGTATGCAGCTGTGGACTCCAGGGGGGTAGGTTGCCACAGTGGCCTCTCCTGCCAAGTCAGGCACTGGAGGCTCCTCATTGCTTGGCCACCAGGGAATCAGTGTCTGTATCTGAAAGCCTAGCCCACCAGGGCAAGGTCTCATGTCACTGGAGGTCAGCCTCTCTGGAATGCCCAGGCCTGGTTGCTTGGTCTCCTAAGAAGTCCCCAAATTCTCAAATGTCTTTCAAATTAAACTCATTGTAGTTTGCGGACTTTTACCCCAGGAGGATGGGGTGGAAGCAACAGAGATGCAAATCAGGTTTCTTCTATGTCCTGCACCCCACCCAGTCACACTGACAGCTCAGTCAAGACTGAGAGAGGTCCTCATGTACTGCAGCCTCCCATTGGCCCGGGACCGGAATAGACACTGATACTAAGCCAGCCCTGAGCCCAGCATGTCTGCTGTCCTCCCCTGCCACCATCCACTCCTCCAGCCTCTATCCCCACCCACCTCTGGCTCACAGACTCACATAACTGGGCTGGTGACCTTCCTCTAGATACACCTTCTCTCCCACAGAAAGGACACCCCTAGCCATCCCTCTGCCCTGCCCCCCGCCCTTCCCCATGCAATACCCAAGCCCCCAGCCTGTCTGATCTCCCTGTGTGATTTCTCCTTCGCAGTACGAAGAGCAGCCCCAGTGGGAGTACAACCTCTACATGTATATCTACTTTGTCATTTTCATCATCTTCGGGTCTTTCTTCACCCTGAACCTCTTTATCGGTGTCATCATTGACAACTTCAACCAACAGAAGAAAAAGATACGTAGAGCACCAGCTCTCCACTGGGCTGGGCAGGGAAGGGCAGGTGCCAGGGGATTGAGGAGCCATTCGGGCTCCAGGCCCCTCTCAACGTCCCTGTTGGGGATGGTCCTCTTCTTGCTCCTGTGGGAATGAGGTGGGGAGAAGGGTGTGGGCAGGGATGTAGCATGCCTATGCCTGTAAGAACACAAGAAGGGACTTTGGTGGGAGGCCCCGTGCCTGCCCTAATCCACCTGAGAGATGAGGCTTCTGGGAGAAGCTGGGGTGAGGGCTGCAACTGTTCACCTAGGCCATAATCAGAAGTCCTGGGTAAGGTCTATGTGCAGGCCCTTGGTCTTTCCAGAGCTTCATCAGAGGGACTTTGACTGAGTTGTAAGCAAACCAAGTGAACAGAGAGAACCCACAGGCTGGCTGAGCTGGCAGGGGGAAAGGGCTTGTGGAAAGAGCAGTCGGCTGACCCTGGTATCCTAATCAAGGAGGCAAGATCCCGGTGCCCTCATGCTGGGACCTCTGAGAACCCCAGAATGAAGTTGGCGCCTTCTCTCTGCACTTAGGGGGCCAGGACATCTTCATGACAGAGGAGCAGAAGAAGTACTACAATGCCATGAAGAAGCTGGGCTCCAAGAAGCCCCAGAAGCCCATCCCACGGCCCCTGGTGAGCTAGGCTCCTGGTTCTGTGGGAGTGGGGTGGATCTTCTGGGGGTCCCTGGGAAGCCTTCATGCCACGTAGCCACCCCTCAGGGCCACTTCTTTCAGCCCAGCCTGAGGGGCACTATCAGATATCTGATCATGAAGAGAGGTCCCAGCCTCAAACAAATAGGGAAGAAGTTATGAGAAGGATGTAGCATCCTGGGGATACTCCCCACCCACAGGAACCCTTCTGTCTCTGAGCAAGTCCCCTCCTTCCTCTCAAGGATCCAGGCTTTCCTCAGGAAAAGCAGGGGAGCCTTCAAATCCCTGTCCCACCCCCACTCACAGCCTCATCCTTGGACCCCCAGAACAGTCAGGGAGCCGGATTCCTGAGTCACCTGGTTGGGAGGGCCAGGAACTCTGGAGAGCTGTGTCCTCTCCAAGTCTGACTCCCTTAGCCCAATCAAGCCACTATCCAAAAAAGGTGTGTGTGTGTGTTTATGTGTGTGTGTGTGTGTGTGTGTGT